AAATTATTTTTTTCATCGCCCGATGGCCCAATCCGCCCCTGGTTATGACCCCCGGGCTGTTCGGGGTTGGCGGCTACACTAGGTCTGCCTCGAGTCTGAAATTTGGGGTATAGGGGTAGCTCGGACAGGGGAGTAACATTGGCCAGGTGGCGTTAGTCTACCACTTCCGGTTTCGGAGTTATGACCCCCCGAGCGAAGCCGGGTATCCTGCTAGTAATCCATAAAGTTACGGTTCGATAATACCAATATCGAAAGGAAACGTGCTATTCGGTATATAAACCTACAGCATTTCGTACAGGAACTGTTATCAATATCAAGGGAATTTATGGAAGTATAAGAGATTCGGTCAAACAGCCGCCATATTGGATTTCATTATGACCACCACGTTTTAGATATTCATTTGTATCTCAAAAACTCTATATGCTAGACACACAATTCTAACACTTACAACACCTACTGAGTATATCCGACGGTTAAATTCCACTTACAACCGCCATATTGGATTTCAAGCTATCCAATCACCAAAAATAGGGAGCCACGGTGGCTAGGTGGGTAAGGCGCTGGCTCGCTAGCCTGGAGGTCGGGTGTTCGATCCCTGCATTGGCCGAGAAAGTTCATCCCGATTTTCCGACGTGGTTTCCCCTTGTCAGTGATTAACATATTCTGATGATAACGTTTATATTTCAGCTATTTCTTGTCATACATTTGATGATGCCTACAGATTACGGGAAGATCTGTTTAGAAAGTCAAATTACTCAACCATGGTTCGTCCAAAAATAAATCAATCTGAACAAACAGCGATTAACATTCAAATGTTTCTAAGACAATTAATTGAATTGGTAAGAAATTAATTATATATCAGATATCACAACCCATGGGCTAGTGGAAAAAATAGAGAACCCCCGCCCCCCAAAGGGTATTCCCCGTTATGTTGATCATCCACTCATGTTCCTGACATTTGTTGCGATCAGCTAGGTGTGGGGCTTCTCTCCAATTGATAGAGTACAGAAATAACCCCATTGTCAATTAATAGAGAGTTCAGAAATAACCCCATTGTCAATTGTGTAATGAAAGCGAATCCCACACGGCTTTTATTATGTTTATCATTGATTCCCGTGCGTGGCATTTGCTACGATCAGCTAACAAGTTGGTGTTTCTCTATTTACCCCTCTGATAAAGAGTTCAAATTACAGAAATAATCCCACAAAACTACACCATTTTGATTTTTTATGCAACAATTATAGAATATTTCTTTTTTATTTCAGAATTCACGTGAACAAGTTATGAAACTCCTGGGATGGTTTATTATTGTAAGTAATGTTCTCCAAATTGAATACATCATACTAACAAATGCCCACGTTATTTACTTTTGCTAAAACATTAAATCATAGTAATAATTACTTGGTGGTACAGATCAATTTAACAGCAATGGCAGGCAAGCCTACAACTACTTTTTTATTGGCTATTTGTTTTAAAAATACAATAAAAACGTTTCTCGTAATTAACACTGTTTACGTTATTATTCTCATCAATTTATTTGTCAGTTTTCTATAAACTTACAATGGCATATTCTTCACTTATTGTCCCCCGCCTTTCGAAGAAAGCAGGGGACTATTAAAATGGGTTCGTCCGTCTGTCTGTCTGTCTGTCCGTCACACTTTTTGGGACACAATAACTCTCCTTCTAATTGACCTAGAATGTTCAAACTTGGTGTAGGTGTTTATTAGGTCAATGCCTTGATGGAGTCCGAAGATGAGCATTTTCGGATTAGGGTAAGCAGAGATAAGCAATTTGATTGGTCGATGCTTTGGGACACGATAACTTACGTTCTTATTAAGTGAGAGTGATGAAACTTGGTGTATAGTTTCATTACATCAATACCTTGACTAAGTTCGATAATGAGCATTTTCTGCTCAGGGTAAGCAGAGCGATAAGCAATTTGATTGACCGAGACTTTGGAACACAATAACTCTCCTTCTAGATGAGCTAATTTGTTTAAACTTGGTGTAGGTTTTTATTGGGTAAATTGCTTGATGGAGTGTGAAGATGAGCATTTTCTGCTTAGGGTAAGTAGATGCTTTAGGACACGATATCTTTAGTTCCAATTAAGTGAGAGTGATGAAACTTAGTGTATAGTTTCATTACATCAATACCTTGACTAAGTTCAATAATGAGCATTTTCGGCTCTGGGTAAGCAGAGCGATAAGCAATTTGATTGGCCAAACTTTGGAACACAATAACTCTCCTTCTAATTGAGCTAAAATGTTCACGCTTGGTGTAGGTGTTTATTAGATCAATGCCTTGATGGAGTGTGAAGATGAGCATTTTCTGCTTAGGGTAAGTAGAGATAAGCAATTTGATTGGTTGATGCTTTGGGACACGAAAACTTTAGTTCCAATTAAGTGAGAGTGATGAAACTTGGTGTATAGTTTCATTACATCAATACCTTGACTAAGTTCGATATTGAGCATTTTCTGCTCAGGGTAAGCAGAGCGATAAGCAATTTCATTGGCCGAGATTTTGGAACACAATAACTCTTCTTCTAATTGAGGTAGAATGTTTAAACTTGATGTAGATGTTCGTCTTGACTGAGTTCAATGATTAACATATCGAGCTAAAACTAAGCAGAGATAAGCAATTTCCTTGGTCGATGCTTTGGGGCAAGATAACTTTGATTCTATCTGATAGAGAGTGATGAAACTTAGTGTGTAGTTGATAATCAGTTTGATATTTCGATTAATTAATATGTGTCATATATTTATTTGGGGATTTCGGCGGGGGACATCAGCCTCACTGTTGGCTTGTTTATTCTTATTTACGGTTCTTGCAATACTAGACTTACCCAACTCAGAACAGCGCTGGACCGATCATTTGGATAATTAACCCTTTAACTACAGTTTTAAGAAAATTGTTTCTCATAGCTCAGCCGGAATGGTCGTTTATACATTATAAACATACAATGTGTTTTTTTTTAAATTCTAACTTGCTTGAGCAGTTGGGACAGATAAAATATATGCAATTAACTTACTGCTGTTAATATATTATATTATATTTATTGTTATAAAATCCCTTAAGACACTATCAAAGACACAATATCCTATATTATATAGATACTTCGAGGTATATTTGTATTAATATATCAAAATTCAAAGAGCTAGAAAAAATGTATTTTGTTGGGTCCGCTCGACGTTCTTTCTTTTCTTATATCTCTTTGCCGCGAACTGCGCTAAGCACAATCAACATAAAAAAGTATAATTATTTTACTTTTGTTATTTTTGGGATAACACTTCCTTGAAAAAGCAGACATTCTTCTGCTGAAATAGGTTCTATTACCATCTGGGAACGACCCGAAATTCCGAAGAAGAATATATGCTTTTTCAAGGAAGTGTTATCCCAAAAATACTAAAAGTAAAATAAAAAGTATATTTGAATATATCAAGCCTCGGAGAGCCAGAATAATTGTATATGACTGGGCCCGCTCGGGGTTCGTTCTTCTCTTATATCTCTGTGCCGGGACTGTCGGAAATAAGAATGTCACAAACTGTTTAAATGTAACAACTTATTTTAGTTTAAAGGTAAGTAAAAGCATAGAAACTTAATTAGGTGTTGAAATAAGAAGCAGGACATCCGACAAACAAAACGTTTTTTTCCTGATCTTTTGCCCGTAAATATGAATACCAAGTTTGTAGTACTACAGACTTCTTTATTTGTTGTGTTCCTTGTGATCGTAAATAATACTACAGCAACAATGATTTCACAGCTTTATTGGTAATCTGGAAATAACTTTACAGGTTCCTCGTTCTCAAATATATAAAGGCTTCTTGGAATAATCTGGCTAGAGTCTAGTTAAAACTCACTTCAACCCTTCAATTTATACCTATCTCATTTCGGCAGGTCCTTGGTACTTTTCCATTGAATATACGTAATAATCTTGTTTATTTCCCACAACTAACAGAGATAGATATTACCTTATTTGGTCTAACAACCATAGGTCAATAAACAGCCTGAATTTGATGACTATTTTGACAATGATTATAATTTAACTAAAACATCACTGTTTTTTACGAACAACTATATCCACGTTCATTTAGTACTGTGTGATTTGACTTTATAGACAAAATTAAAGGGACAATTTTATAAAAACCCAAAATTGTCTCAAGGGCCAAAGTGCTACAAGTTTCATAAAGATCCATCAATAACTAGCTGTCTGGAAATGAAATGAAATGGGGCTTATGGTCCGACTGTTCCGCTCCGACTGTACTAATGAAGAGGGCTAAATGTACCAAATAACACATTTTAGTTCACTTGCCCTGGATTTATTCTCGGATAAAACCGGTTAAAACATCTGGGTTTTCACCCCCATTTTAAAAATTCCTGTTTCCACCTCCGAAAAAGATGCTGAGAAAATCATTAAATCAAGAAGACACGACTGGGGCGGTGCTGGTCATTTCATAATTCAATAATCTGTGGATCTGATTGCGTTTGATGTTTTATTGTCCTCCGCCTTTCGAAAAAAGCAGGAGATTATTAAAATAGGTCTGTCCGTCCGTCTATCGGTCTGTCCGTCACACTTGTTGGGACACAATGGATCTCTTTCGAATTGAGCTAGAATGTTCAAACTTGGTGTAGGTGTTGATTAGATGAATCCCTTGGCAGAGTACGAAGATGAGAATTCTCTGCTTAGGCTAAGCAATTTGATTGATTGATGCTTTGGGACACGATAAGTTTGTTCTAATTAGTGAGAGTGATGAATAGTTTCAAAACCTTGATTAAGTTCCATAATGAGCATCTTCTGTTCAGGGTAAGCAGAGCAATAAGCAATACGGTTGGTCGAGACCTTAAAGCCCGATAACTTTGATTCTAATTGTGTGAGAGTGGTGGAACTTCGTATTACTACCTTGACTAAGTTTGATGATGAGCATTTTCTGCTTAGGCAAAGTAGAGACTTCAATCTGATTGGCTGAGACTTTGAAACACAATAATTCTCCTTCTGAGGTAGAATGTTCAAACTTGTTGTAGGTGTTGAGAAGGTGAATGTCTTGACAGTGTTCGATCATGAGCATTTCCACTAAGTAACGCAGAGATAAGCAATGTGATTGGCTGAGCTTTTGGAGCACAATAACTTTGGTTCTAATTGGATGAGATGAGAGTGAGAAACCTATAGTATAGATGCATATCAATACCTTGACTAAGTTTGACAATGAGAATTTTCTGCTTAGCGATAACCAATTTAATTTGCTTGATCAAGACTTTGGAAAATTAGAACTCTGTTTTTAATTGAAATGTTTAAACTTAGTTTAGATGTTCATTAGGTGAATGTCTTAACCGAGTTCAATACATATAATTAACATTTTCCGCTAAGGCCCAGCTAAAGATAACTTTGATTCTAACTGATGGAGAGTGATGAAACTTAGTGTATAGTTTCACTACTAGGTACTTCAAAACCTTGACGGAGTTTGATCGTGAAATGTGCAATTAATTAATTATTATGTCATTTATGTATTTTGAGGTTGCGTGGGGGACATCAGCCTCACTGTTGTCTTGTTACTTAACAAAGTCTACTCAATAAAGTGACTTGACAGCTATCAGTGTTTCCTATTTTTTTCTTTAAAGACATGGATAGATGAAAAGTTGAGGTGGAATCCAGACAACTATGGTGGTATTGTAGAAATGAATGTACTTCAAAAAGATATTTGGGTTCCTGATTTGACAGCTACTAATTCGTACGTATACAGAAATACAGTTATGGCTGGTAGTTTGTGAACACACACCATTGTTGTTAAAAAGTGAATCCTCGTTATATAAAATAATGTTCTTGTCAAAACTTTTCGAAGCATTGAAATAATAATAACACCTTAAGTGTTAATAGATGTATGTTTATGTTCGGCATTTAAGGATTTTGTATTTCTTTTTATTCTTTCTAGTATTGAAGAGGATGATATTTTTGGAAGTGACAAGTTGCGAGTTTATGTTAACCATACTGGTAACATTTCCTGGGAACCAGGCTTTGCATTCACTACGAGTTGTCCTGTTGATGTAACTATGTTTCCGGTAGATTCTCAGACATGCTCAGTAACTGTTATGCCCTGGATGACCTCTGACAAAGAAATTTGGTTCAACGAAACAAAAATTGTGGTAGATACTCTGCTAGCCCACAACGGTCAGTTTGCTATCGTAGGTAGTTCTGTTCCCAGACTGAACAATTCAGTTTCTGGAAATCCCAATAACAAACTGATTATGTCAAGTTTTACCCTACAACTGAAACGTAAACCAACATTTTATCTCTTAAATGTCATTGGGCCCATTGCAACAATCTCGTTTCTGTGTGGCGTTAGTTTTCTTGTACCTTCGGAGAGTGGAGAAAAACTAACCGTTGCCATAACAGTGTTGTTGTCCTTAACAGTTTTCCTGGGTGTTGTTGATGATAATTTACCAAAGACATCTGACTCCATCCCGTATTTTGGTGAGTTGAGATTTCATGTTGATAAATAATCCAGGTGTAATCCTGCCCCCAATTTCAAAATATAAAGATGCCATTCATTAATTACTTGCTTATTTATCTTTTTATAAAGCACTTAACTATTAAATCGCTTACCACACTGCTCAACCTGAGTATAAAATGTTCCCTCTTAACCAATCTTAAAGTTTCGTCGCTCTCATCTGAATGGTCATGTTCAAAGTGTCTGCTTATCCCCGCTTAGTTACTTTAGTAACGGTGTCTGATCGTAGCCTCTCACCGTTACTGGCCGTCCCTTATGCACATGTAATAATAAAAATCACGCTTTACACCACCTCGGTTCTAAGGTTATTTTGGAATCCTTACCGTCTATTTTTCGTCGTGACTATTCTTTGTTCGCTAAAAGGAATCATTTCTCGACACATCTGACAATATGCAAAAGTTGGCAATGGAATGTTATACCGTAAACAAAAACAAAATTCTACCTTTACTTAAATTAACGCACTATATGGAAATATTGATACCACTAAAGTGATTGTATTCAACATACATAAACAATTATTACATAAAATCGATTCATACATTATTGAAGTATAGTAAGAACTTTTGTTTACGGTAACATTTCATTCCTAAATTTTGAATTTCGGCTGAGCATAGCCGGGAACCAATGACCTGCGGTCTGCGCAAGCGCGGGTTTCCTGATGGCAGACCAATTCAAACGAATTTGTTTCTGTTTTTGAATCGAGAAATTCCACTTGAATATAGAGTTGAATTATTTTAAATTTGTGTCGGATGTGTCGAGAAATGATTCCTTTTGGTGAACAAAGAAGAATCACGGTGAACAATAGAAGGCAAGCATTCCAAAATAGCCTTAGAGCCGATGTGGTGTAAAGCGTTATTTTCATATTACATATTACATGTGTATAGGGGCAGGCAATAATGGCGGGAGGCTCCCATCAGACACCGTTACTAAAGTAACTATTCCCTGCTTAGCAGAAATGCTGATCATCGAACCTAATTAGGATATTGATGTAAATAACATCTACACCAAGTTGGCACTGAACACTAACACTTTCTACGCACGATATTTTCAATTACTGCCATTGATGTCCCATGTCAATTAAAACACCAATTCCTTTCTCTTTTTCAGTGATGTATGTGACGTTATTAATCGGAATGAGTTTTTTAGCTGTCATAGGAAATGTGATTACCCTCTTCGTTCACAGTTTGAGTCCAAGTTCTCGCATACCACGATTTGTGAAGTTTCTACTGATTCGAAAATATACAAAAACTAAATCTAAAGAAATCACACATAGTAATGTGTTTCTTTTATCTCTCCGCAGAAGTTCTATCATGTCGATTACGGCTATGTCTATGGAAGCACTCTGCTGTGATATATGTGGTAATAGTAATGAATCGGGCTGCAATCACTGGCCAGAAGTTGCACGGATGGCCGACAAAGTCGTTTTTATAATTTTTACCATTACTCTTATTTGTATTAATGCCAGGTTTTCCTTTATGTATATGTGACGGATCACCATTCTTTTGTCCCGCCACAGGCTATGGTCAGTCCGAGTCTATTCAATTCAAGGATCGTGGAACGCTAGGATTAAATGTAATGTGATATTTTTGGCAAACACATCAATTATTGATTAATCTCACAAAGATGCATTAACCAATATTTGTTTGGCAAACACATAAATCATTCATTAATCTAACAAAGATATATTAACCAATCAGTCTGTGGCTTTATCATACAAGATTAGCGAAACAAATACTACCAGAACATAATATTTGTGCTATGAACTAGTAACGATTCCATTAATTGGGCGTCGATTCCCGGAAGTAGTATAAATTAAGTCAGAACAAGTAATGCTGTTAAATACGAAAATATACTATTCTGTGGTACCATGGTTTTGTTGTTTGTTATGTCGATTTTTGTTCTGGATAATACTATGGTACTGCAGATTATCCCATCGTCTATATCATTTTACAATCTACTTATTAGAATAAAGGATAACCCTTTATTACCAAGCAGTCCTTTACAAAAAAAAGAACAAAAACAAAAAAAACCCAAAAAATAAAAACGAACAAAACAAAACAGTAAAAATCACACAAAAACAACAACATTGTTTTAACAGAAAAACATGGTTTTCAAAACCATCAGATTTTGGGACATAGCATGGTCGTAGGCAACCACGTTGTTTTTTTTTTATCTTATTCCACGAATCATTGTTTAAACTCAGAAAACACATTGTCAACATGAAATTTTCCATCACTAAATTCAAGCTAAAATGTAATGAATGGTTTAACATTTAATTTAGAAAATAAAATCAAAATATTAACACTAGATAATCTCCCAGCTTGGATTCAATCCGATTAAAAATAGGTCCATCAAAACATTTTAGAGAAGATCATAGATGACACTGTTGACCTAATTGAATGGGGGCCAAATGTTGACAAATTTCAATTTATTTTGTAGATATTGAACCATTTTTGGATCGATATTCCCTTTAGAGAGTCAATATTTAAGTTTGCAAGGGATCCGCCAATCCCTAAGATGATGTTCAGAGACGTTAATGTTGCCACACTGACAGTCCAATAGATATAATAAAACTGTTGTTCTTTGCAATATAATTTTATTTATTCATTTATTTTCGCATTTTCTTAAGCTCTTGGCTTACGGAGCTAGCAACTATTTCCCTTTCTATATTTCATATTAGTTTTTAAAGCAAAGCCTGACAAAACAAATTATTTTAGGTGAGTAAAAGTACATAAACTTAATTAAGTGTTGATATGATAAGCAATAGATCTTGCAAACAGGACGTCTTTTTTCTACCCAGATCTTTTGTCAATAAATATGAATACCAAGTTTCATAAAGATACGTCAAGAACTGGCTGTCTGGAAATGAAATGAAATGAAATGGGGTTTAACGTCGCTATTCTGCTCCGAATGGGCTAATGAAGACGGGCCTAATCCATACAGTGTGCTATGTAGGAAATTATGCCCGGGAGCGGCGCTAAGGCCTACTCTAATACCGAATTCCAACTGCTAAGGGATCTTTATGTGTACACCGGGCCTCGGTTTTTCGTACCATCCGAACGGCTAGACAGCTGTCCTTGTTAGACCGACCGTGCTGCAGCACTGACAAGGGGAAACCGCGCCGAAAAAAAAATCACGATGAAGTTTCTCGGCCAATACTGGGAGCGAACCTGATTGTCTGGAAAATTGTGAACATTATATGCCGACACAATATACTCCACAATTGTACTAAAAGTGGGAATATAAAAACTAAAACCTATATTGAGAGAGAGAGAGTATTTAATGTCAACTCAACACAAACCCAACCATCATTTCGGGACTAACATATGCTACAATTTCATTTTAATAAGTCGCTTGCCTGTAGGGGTCTTTAGCAGGGGAAGGGGGGGGAGGGTGCGGAGGACCCGAGAAACCCCTGAGATTGGGCATGCGACCATACCCATCGTCACGTGAGATGTAAAAGCTTAGCATCGAAACCATTCCACTTGTCTCAATGACCGATCATATGATCTAACACGCATTCGACCCCAAACCCCACTAGCCTAATTCTGTGAAATCAGGAACTAGTCAATGAATGGATTTCACCAACTCGGCACAAAGACCTGGGCCCTGTTTCACGGAATTTTAACTAAAGATAAAATTCAAATTTTAGTAGATACTTCAATTTTGATTGGCTAAGCACTAAAATCAATCTAATATTATCCAATCAACATACTAAAATCTGGATTTTATCTTAGATAAAATTTCGTGAAACAGGGCCCTGGTTTAATTTGGCCTCGTCTGCCATGGAGTTTGGCTTTTTTTAGTTAAGGTGGCATCCAAAGTTGAACACAAGGCCATGCATTGTTTTAAAATCTAGTTTGCTGTAGGCCTGCTGTGTGATGACCAATCCTGAACCAATCTTAACCTGTGATAATCATTCATTATTTTAAAATCTATAGTTTGCTGTAGGCATGCTGTGTGATGACCAATCCTGAACCAATCTTAACCTGTGATAATCATTCATTATTTTAAAATCTATAGTTTGCTGTAGGCATGCTGTGTGATGACCAATCCTGAAACAATCTTAACCTGTGATAATCATTCATTATTTTAAAATCTATAGTTTGCTGTAGGCATGCTGTGTGATGACCAATCCTGAACCAATCTTAACCTGTGATAATCATTCATTATTTTAAAATCTATAGTTTGCTGTAGGCATGCTGTGTGATGACCAATCCTGAACCAATCTTAACCTGTGATAATCATTCATTATTTTAAAATCTATAGTTTGCTCTAGGCATGCTGTGTGATGACCAATCCTGGATCAATCTTAAAATGTAATAATAAACGAACAGAACTAAGATTTAAATGAAATCGATTTTAACATTCTACTTTACAGCACAAAACATGCTGCCAGATACATACACGAGATCTCGCTAATACCCTATTAATATTAATGTAGCTATCAGATTGCAAATGGAGTGGAATTTTAACCTTCTATTTAATTTCACAACCTTGTATAGTTGTATTCCTGGTTCTTTTTTTAAAAAAAATATATAGGAAACTGGGCACTAGGGCTACCTCACATTCATAGGTTATAAATTGAAAAGAAAAGCAGAGCATGAATTCATTCAATATCGTTTCTCTATTCCACAAGCATTGGATGTTGGTAGGGTTGGGCACTAATTATTAGCCTTTTAGAATGAGAACAAATAAACATATGTTTTTCTATGGCGACTTGGTGTATTATAACCGAATCCGATGAGATCATGCAGTGGTCAAAATTTGGTATTTCGATTGGATCATGCCATTTTCCCAAGTTAGTGACCCAAAAATAATTGTTAAATACCGGCAATTTCAAATAATTCAGCAAAGCAACGTCCACGTTAGGAAGAGTTTCAAGCAGGATACTGTTTGATTTAGCCTACAAACTGCATCAGTTCATCTTCAAAAGATTCTTCTATGTGTCCTCGATAATCGTGTAATTTGCGAGCAGATTTATGAAGTTCGGTTTCAGACAACGCGTGTAAAGCGAAGAGAGCGCCAAATCCATCAACAGTGAATCCAAAATGGGAAGAAAAGTCAACTGTATAAATCACATCAGTTTTCATTTTAGGTAAGCCAGTTAAGATAAATCAATAATCCATCTTTCTGTCCTGTTCAGCTGTTGGTAAAACGGTATGACTATGTGGAATACTACATGCATATAGAGGTCATTTATGTTCTCTGAATGGTGTTCTGTAAAATGTATTGTAAGTTGTTAGCTACAAATAGGCTAATTAGGGACCTTGCAGGATTCTATAACTTTCTTAGACTCGCTCGTCGACAGTTCCTGCCACTATCTATTTCTGGAAGTGGGTTACTGTTGTAACGTTTCGTTAGGTCAGACATCAGGTCAGAGTTCTCCGGCTATCTGGTATAGTACACATTAGCCCAATTTTATAAAATAAGACTGACGTAAATGGGTGAGCAAATAAAACAATACCTAGATATGGCAATGATATGCCCTAATAGCTGACGTACCTAAACTTTATACAGAAAATCAGCCCAGCGCGATTAAGGTTCTTTTAGACATCTTGCATTGTTCTTAGAAGGACGCACCCACAGCCTCTGGTCTGGTGCCAGTTGCCGGCCAGTTAACATTACCTTTCTTTCAAGAGAATTAATATGGAAGTTGCTTCAGTAATTATTATTTTACCCCCCCCCCCAACTTTCTGTTTTGACCGTTTTGTTAAGAGAGCTACCGCTGTTAGTTAGTTACCCCCACTTTAAATTATTTATCGCATATCTGGAACATACTGATAATGGTGTAAAAGTATCACATGGTGAATATTTTGAGCTTTGGCCGATAATCGGAGGCTAACTTTCTTTATAATTTAAAAACTTGTTTGAAAATTGGGACTTTTTGGCCTTCAAAATGGGTGGGGTGCGGGGTACTAGATAAAAACGGCCTTTACGATCAAATTGTGACCTCTAGAGTGTCCAAACGCTAAATTACAATCAGGGATCATAATCCAGGAAATTACGGTCCGATATGCACCAATATCGAGAGGAATCGACATTCGTGGGATATAAACATAATTGTAGTTTCATCAAAATTAGATAAACACTGTGATCTCTAAAAGGAACATATTGCTAAAAACGCCATTTTGAATAAAGTTACGATCCGGTATAGCCAATAGTGACAAGAACCGAGATCCTTGGGAGCTTAACATTTATTTTAAGTTTCGTAGTGTCCACAAGCAAATGAGGACGGTGTGAAGATACGGGCGTATAAAAACAGTATTAATAATGTTAGATTGGTATTTGTTAAAAGTGTACCGATTTCAGCGTTGCGGTTGTTGTTTTCTTGTCCCTGATGATTATGGAAGACAAAACAGCTCTTTATTCAATTTCTTGATTCTTATTACTTTATTCATAGTCTTTAATTTTTATTTCTTCATTGGTTGTCGTATTTCGACGTTTGTACACTAAAATAAACATTTGTAAACTAACATTATAAGAGCTAAATATCGCTAATAATATTTGGGACCTAGCAATTGACAGGAATTGGTCGCAACGCATATAATAATGTAATATGAATGTATATAAACTGATTTACATTCAATCGTTTCCGTTTTTATTATAATTTTAAATTAGTTAAGTCTTATTCGAATGGCAATCTCTAGCGTCTGGTTATTCCAGTCTACACCGATAGTATTTATTGCGCATGCTCTCCAGATAAGAATATGACGTCACCGTTTGACATGACTTGTGGAATATGTTTAGCGTCGTTCTTCGAATCCCTTGTTACAAATGACACTGAAACGCATTATGGTGCACCCTAATGTGCCCTCCGACATGTACCACTGAAATTGGGAAACCACGCCGGAAAATCCCGATGAACTTTCCCGGTCAACACCGGGATCGAAGTACGTCAGAAGTCTCAATCGAATGGCAGTCTCTAGCGTCAGGTTATTACAGTCTACACCGATAGTATATATTGCGCATACTCTCCAGATAAGAATATGACGTCGCCATTATACATGACATGTAGAACACGTCTAGCCTCGTTCTTCGAGTCCCTTGTTACAAATGGCGCTGAAACGCATTATGGTACACAATTCGTGTACCAATAGTAAAATGTTTATGTAGTCTTAAACAGTGGATATCAGAAGCCCATCTTTTCCCGGTAAGATCAAAAAATAAATGTTGATTTAAATTGACAAATAATTCGTGTTTTCAATGTCGAAGACTTTGGATGATATTGAGTTAGAGACATTTTTTTTATCTTAAACTCAATATTTGTTTTATAAATCAGACATTTGTCATATCAGATTTTTAAATTGTATTTTGGTTTAATTTAATTGTATTTTAATATAAAGATAAAATTTATTTTAGAAAATCAAAAAATTACATTTCATCAGAAACATACAACGAAAATAAAATCTCGAACAACAAACTTCCAAATACAAATCCCCAAATATAAATCTTGTAAAACACTTGTCAAATCAACCGGGCATACATATTAACACAACTCAATGGATTAGCCATACCATGCAGGTGATTGATTAAACAAAAATACAATTTAAAAATCTGATAAGACATTTGTAAGGCAAATATTGATTTGAAGATACAAATATTGATTTTAAGATATAAATGTTTATTTTAGTGTACAAATGCCGAAATACGACAACAAATAAAGAAATAAGAATTAAAGAATTAAGGACTGTGACTGAAGAAATAAGAATGAAGGACTATGCATTAAGCAATAAGAATTAAAGACTATGAATTAAGAACAATGGAATAAAGAGCTGTTTGATCTTCCATAGATGACGTAATAAGGTTGACGGCGCTGGATTTAACAGCAATAATACTGTGTAGCGAAAGGGAATAAGTCTGCCATTTATGTTCTCAGTTCGTCGATCATTACTAATTAAGTTTCAAAGACAATATCAATTTACGAACATTTGGACGTGTAGAAACAACGTAACTTATACTCAAAATCGCCACATACAAGCCAATATCCAGGTACAACAAGCCAGATATATCTCAACATTTACTATTTTAAAGGGTATTATGGGATTCCAATCCGTTAAATATCGCAGGCTGACGATGGGATCGAGGGTTGATTATGGTCTGGATAAGTTAATTAATGTCTCATTAATAATTTAGGTAACATTTCAGGCCTAAGGAAAGACCTGCAATAGGCAGGTTTAGCTCTTGCATAATGTATGTTCAATGCAAAGAATGTTTAATTCAGCACACTCGAAAAAAAACACACAAGGAAAATCAACTAGCTTGTGCGAAAGTAGAAAATTATTATTATTATTACTTAAGGCACATTAATGAAGGCACGCGAATATTTGGAACAACATGTTTTTGATTGTGTATAATCCTCTATATCTAACCTTTTATTCTAGCATGTTATTAGCCTTTAACGTATCAGTATCACATAAGTAGGTGCATTCTAATTATAGTGTTTTGATATAATGGATATATTTTGTTGTTTTATTAAACCCAAAGAGTTTTATCTTTAAAAGATTCTAATTAATACGCAATTTCAACAATTGCTATTACGAGTAATTGGGTCAGTTGGGTGTCTCCAGCTATACTAAACGGCAGGGCAGGATAACATGTACCCATAATAGGAATAACCGTGACCAAAGAAAATGTTTGTGTTTGTGATCTTCGTTTTCTGGTATTTTACTGGTAAGGTCAAACAAATATTTATCTTAAGTATTTAATCCATAGATATTGTAGAACTAGTAGTTAAAATAGTAAGTTTAAATTTCGTAGATGTTTGGATAACGTTGGCTTGGCTTGGCATGAAGGTTTGCATGTTATATTTTTAGAACAATGTATCATGCTACAAGTAATACATTGAAGCGGAGTTAATATTGATTATTTCCTGATTCTTATTATATAACCCCTGATTAGAGATATCGCCAAAGTTGTTGCCCAACACAATAAAGACCATTGCGTCTAATATATCTTTATTATTAAAGGGCGTTTAGAATTGTAGTACTTTCAATATTTGCACTTTTAATAACACCGCATTATATATCATTACAGGTATTCATTGTTATTCTATTCATGACGTTTACAGATTGAAAGATGATCTCTTTAAGAAGTCTAATTATTCTGCAATGATCCGCCCCAAGATAAACCAATCTGAAAGAACAGATATCGAAATAAAGATGTATTTATCAAGACTGCTGGGATTGGTAGGTAAATATTACATTGCTTGGACTGGTAGGTAAATATTACACTGTACTGGTAGCTAAATATTACACTGTTTGGGCCACGTTCTCAGCGCATATTGTTACTTAAAACCATAGGTGCCAGAGGTTGCGGGGGCCAGACTGACAAGAAAATCCAATAAATTGCCCGTAATCCGATGACTTGTACATACTAATAAAACACTAATTCTACATTTGTACTAAATCGACTATGGATTAAAACATTTTGTTTGGAACCGTTTTGCTTCGTGTGATATCTTTAGGTCACCGATCAATATTCGTTTCATCAATTGTCCGGGAATCGTAAATGCCTGATGGATTAAAATTTAAAACATTCAAAAACAGTTTAATAAATATATGTTTCCACTTTAAAGTTGTTGTACTGCCGGCCTGGAATAGCAGGAAACGAATTTGCGGACGTCCAATTTTTAAATGTTTTGCCGGGAGGTCACCGTACTTAATGGCCCCCTGATCTATAGATCATTATTTATTTCATCAAATTGTCCGGATGTTATATCTCTAGTGTCCGATGAATGCAACCACAATAGTCTGATTGGTTGAAATTCAGGTTAGTGACAAGTAAAGCTATACTCACAGACTGGAATAGCAGGAAAACTATTATATTAGTTTTAACCAGCGGTTGCCAGACAAAATACGCCTACATTTTGCAAGAGATGGACAGAGAACAAACTAAAAAGGGGGATTATACGTTCAATCAGGGGTGATAATCCACGAAGTTACGATCCAATACGCGCAAGTATCAAAAAAAAACCCAGATCTGTGGGATTAAACATATATTTTAAGTTTCTAAAAAATGTGACCTCTACAGGGTCTACAACCTATTTGCCTATGGGGAGCGGCCATTTTGTCGGGCATGAAATTCGAACTCAACTGTCATTATGTTGTAACGGTGATAAATTTAAGCGGTTTTTTTAATCGGATAAAAGTTGTGACCTCTAGAGGAACAACAAGCGAAAAACACGATTTATCTTACATCCAGGAGCCATAATCCAAGGAATTACGGATACAAACTGCGACCTCTAGAGGGTCCACAACCTTGATATTAGATATTTTTACACTATTTGCGCACAAAAACCGGCTATTTTGTCGGGCAGTTTCGGTCAGAATTTCACTAAATTCGAACTAATACCGTCATTTGGTTGTAACACCCATCCTTTTAAACGTTTTTAAAAATCGGATAAAAATTGTGACCTCAATCATCATGAGGTTGTAAAACCCATCTTTTTAAACGCTTTTAAAAATCGGATAAAAATTGTGACCTCCAGAGGGTCCACAATCAAAAGAGTTACGGTCTGATATGCGCGAATATCAACAGGAACCGAGATCGTTCGGCTGTAAACATAAGTTTAATAAAAATCGGATAAAAATTGTGACCTCTAGAGTGTCCACAAGCTAAAAACGTGATTTTTCGTACAATCAGGGGCCTTAATCCATGAATATACGTCTACATAAAAATATGGGCGTATAAAAATATCTACAATTATTTCCATTTAAACTATCTACTAGTAACAAAGGCCTTTATTTAGACATACATTGTCGACTTTACACTGATGCATTGAAACTTAACTGGCTGATATCTATATATCTAATCTTTTTACTCGTAAAACAGAAGGCAGTATACTTTAGCAAAACTAAAAAAACCCACAAATATTACTTTTTAGCAATGAATCTTTGTAGAAGACTACAAACAGATTGTTGCTCAATCAAATGAATGTTTAAATATGTTAAAGAGAGTGAACAGAAGGGATTTGATTTGGTTATTTTAGCCCACTTTAACTTGTTTTGATCTATGAAATGTTGGACTGCTCCTTTCAGAAAATATAAATGGAACTTTAACCGAAAAACAAGAAATATTTACAAATCTCAAATAAGATCTACACTGAGTTACGAGATTGTCTCAATTTGATACGCTTACAAAATTAACTTGAAGCTGTTAAATTTTTAGCAGGAATCCCGAAATAGCCAAGAATCTTTATAATATTATATCCGTTTTTATAATCATACCTACTACTATAATAGTTATCGTGGTGTACATGTGCAAAAGCAACTAATGGTTTTGAATGTTTATAAACTGTGTACATTTAGTGGGAAGAATTTTCGGCCGCATATTTTAAAGGAGCTAAGATTCCAACTCAGTATTTCCATAATATTCGAAATTAAAACTGATGTTATCTTGCCGTGAAAATATAGCATCCTAATATCCAATACTTAAGACACAATTTGTATTTTTAATTCATTACACGAGTCGTGTAATCTATAGTTTCAGGTTTCCATTTTGTAATGAATAAAAACAAACTTATCATACAAGACTAAGCTGAAGTAAATAGTATAGGCTGATTCACAAACGACAAAATAATAATTTTACAAAATGTGTAGAATGGACTTATCACGCGTAATCGATTGCCGTTCAATTTCAACTGTTCACGTATTTCACCGAATATAAATGATTAGAAATTGCAATATTTGTTTCAAACATGGAATAGAAGTCACTTTACATATATTCATATAACATTAATATGTACTTTTAGAGCCATTTTCGCCTATATCAAGGTTCCAATGATTAGAGCCATAACCCCTTTAAACATATTGTGCTGACTGGTTATGTTTAGTGTTTAGAGCTACTTGTGATCGAAAGGTTTTACATCCCCTAACTTGCACCCTATTTCATTATGGTTGGTCTTTAACATATGTTATATTAAAGATATATTCCCACGAACGTATTTATCGGGTAGTTATTTCCAATAACAGTATCGACATTTTGGTATGGAGATCCAAAATCTTACTCGGAAATACTGGATTCCCGGCAAAAGCACACGGGCGGCGCACATAAGACTAAAATGTGAGGGTATCCCTAAAAGGTAGCCCCGTCTCCTCGAGTGGCGCAAGGGGTGGGCACCACATGTGTTTTGATCTAATGGCGAACGGCTGTGGGCACTTTGAAAGAATTAAACGTCATGTAGACTGCGGTTAAGGCAGGAAAGGTGGTTGACAGAGAATAATCAGGGATTTACTTGGGCTTCGATTTTTGTGGTAACGACTACCGATATATACAAGCTGAAGATGGATTCTCGGTTGATAAACTAGTCTCATAAACGCAACCAAGGGGTATGGAGAAGTTTCCTTCCGATTAACATTTAAAGCAAACATTCGAAGCAGACATTTGATAGATTAATTAGTTTGATTATGTTTTTATCCCAAATATAATCAAAATCACACAGCATGACGAATCTTGGATGTATGATACGTAATTATGCTAATGCATAAATGTTATAAGGGTGTTAAGTACTGGTAATTGTAGCAAATTAATCCCTCATTATTCTTGGTGTAATTGGTAAACTTTCACAAGATTACTACCAACTATTATTGATTGCCCGCCAGCCTTCAAACAAAGCAGGTTTCTATTAAACACCTTGATGATAACCATTTTCACACAATTGTACATCCAATATTTTGTTGAGATCTCTAATAACGTATGTGATACATATCATCCCCCCTGTCATGATAATTCAATTTCCCTATTTATCTCCTTCTATACTGTTTATATATGTTCACATTCGGGAGTTGCATTCCTTTTATGGACCCACCTTTGATTTCCCTTTAAGTTTTATTGCGTACAGTTTCCCTGAAGAAGAATTGTCTCCTGTGTTGGTTACCCACTCCTTTTTTTGTAGCGAAACGTTTTAGTGGGTTAATGTTTCTATTTCAAATGGCACAATATTGATGTAAATCTTTAATACATGTATATTTTTCTTTTCCTTTTCAGGATACACGGGAACAAGTGTTGAAAACATCGGGATTTTTCGTCATAGTTAATATTATTATTATTTCTTTGGTAGCAAATGTAATATTGATCAAGCTTTCTGAGCGTAACTAAAACGTATCTGAATGCATGCAAAGTTTCAATAAATAATACTGTTAAAGATACGTTAGTTAAGAGTTTAATAACGAGTTGGCCATTCTTGCTATAGAAATTCAAAAGTAGAAATAGGCATCAACAATGTCCGCACCGGCTACGAGAATTGCCGATCGTTTGATTGACTCCACCACCTATACTCGATTATCAAGTAATATTCTCAATGGCTATGGTACCCTCGCTTGGCAAGCCTTTCATCACTGTTCTCCCGTAGAGACGTCAGTGACTAACGGTAAACGTTATCTTGGTCCGTCATTTATTGATTTAATTTTAAATGGACGACTGTTTAAATCCAAGCTGTATCCAAGCAACCCGAGAGTCTACAGAGTTGATTTTGAGCTTGTCATGTCAATAAAGGTCTAATTAATAATTTCTATAACATCTGAAGCCTAAAAAAGAACTTACAATAGGCAGAATTAGCTCTTGCATAATGTATGTGTCGTGAGGTTTGACAACTTCTATGTTCCTCCACATGTAAACATTATTTTTTATCGTTTAGACTTGGACAGATGAGCTACTAAGATGGAACCCCAACGATTATAGCGGTATTGTCGAAATAACTGTTCAACAAAAAGAAATATGGTTTCCCGATTTATATGCATCAAATTGGTATGTTTTTTGAATCTGAAATAAATCTGAAATGTTCATTTGATTAAGTACAAATGATGTATTAAGGGGGAGATAATGAGTCCATAAGAAAAATTGTGACAGATAGTGGGTGAACTTCCTAAACGGCGAAACTACCAAAATGATATTGACAAGGGCAGATGTGTGAAACTGCAATGTACCCTCGTTAGAGAAGATATGCAAGATGTAGACCGTTTGGATAATAACTTGTTAAACCGAATATTAAACAAGGGGCAACATTTGAAATTGTGTTATCTCGGAAAGAAACAAATCTTGATTGTTTAGTCTTACGGAGGGGGGGGGGGGGTACGAGCAGGAAATGTTATATTTTGGACATCTTACTGAAAGTTAGAAAGTTACGAACAATTAACCAATGCATGTCAAACACAATAATTTCTGTCGTGTTCACTGGGGACAAACAAATCACGACCATAATGTTAATGTTAAATGCGACACACTGACGAAGAAGGTTTTATTCATTTTGTAAAGCTGCGTCTTGAGTTCTATGATGATTATTTTCTGCTAAAGCTAAGTAGAGATACGCAAGTGCGTAATGAATGTAGTTGCATTATACCATGGTGATCATTTTGTAGAGGTAAGCGATCTGATCTCCAATACCTTGACTATGGTCGTCGATAAGTATATTCGTCCTTGAACAGATATAGCTATTTGATAATTAGCTTATTCTGCTCAGATTTAGCATAATTGTAAACACTTGGACTGCTAGATAAATGTGCAAATAGTTAATGAATGTCAGCAGGCCAGGTCTGTGTGTAACAAATATCCTTCGTTTTACTTTTCAGTATACAAGGTTATCAGGAATTCGGAAGTGATGATTTGCGACTTTATGTTAACAATTCTGGTACAGTTGATTGGGAGCCTAGTTTTACATTAAGTACAAGTTGTGTTGTTGACGTGTCGCTGTTTCCAGTAGATGTCCAGATTTGCAACATAGATATTGTGCCCTGGATGACGACTAATCATGAAATTAACATAAAAGATCCGACATTCGACAATTCTCTCTTTGAAGTCCCTAATGGGGAGTTTGCAATTATACACACGAAAACGACTCAGACATGTTATACAGTATATAGCAACCCAAATTATGAACTAACTGAATCCAGATTTACCCTTACAATGGCACGACAATCAACATTCTACCTTTTAAATGTGGTTGGGCCTTTCGTGGCTATCTCATCCCTGTGCGTAATTAGTTTTCTTATTGACTCACAGAGTGGAGAAAAGCTGACTGTGTCCATAACGGTGTTGCTATCCCTTACAGTATTTTTGAGTGTTATAGAGGACCAGTTACCCAAGACAGCTAACAGTATTTCCTATTTTGGTTTGTATGATATTTTTACACATGCCCCTGCCGGAATGTTTAAACGGTTGCATTGTCTGAACAGTCCCAATGATAGGTTAATAAAACAAAAATCAAAAAAAAATCAAGGATATCTTTCATCAACATTATTATTGCATGAGCGTACATATGTACTTAATACGTTCCTCATGAATATAAAATAAGGCTGCAATATGGCTCAAATATTTTAGAAAATTGTTTTTTTTTTATTTCAAAGTATAAAAAATTTGAAATTTATTCTTGGGGTAGACTATTCTCACGCAATAAAAATGATAAAAATATTGCTGATTTTACAACATATATTTTGCGATTATCTGGCCAAAGACGCCTTTTACATTTGGCCGTCTTCAGCAACACGAGCCCACCGTTGGCTGTCGGTCAACCTTTTGATGGGTCTTGTCGATACAATGAAGCTAGTATGTAATATGACAGGTTGATTTTAGATTGTATATAAACATAATTGTTAACCTTTATGGCGTTAGTTACATTACTAGTACCAGCATTTAGCTCAACTTCAATTCTTTTTCCCTTTTCAGTGATTTATGTGGCATTGATGATTGGGATGAGCTTTATCTGTGTACTTTGTAATGTAGGTACCCTCTACATTCACAACAAGAACCCAGAATCCCCAGTACCAACATGGTTGGGCATGAATATGATCAAAGAAACTGCTGTTGACAATTATAGGGAAAATTCCATAACTGAATCACATCACAGACATTCTGTGAAGTCCTCAACATACAAGAGCACATCCAGGCGCGATTGTTGTGACAACCTGAATGGCGGATGTAGCTGTAACCACTGGCCAGAAGTTGCCAGAATGGCCGATCGAGTATTCTTAACACTGATCACTATTGCCTTAGTTTCTATTAATATCGGATTTCTTATAATACATATTATATAATCCCCTAACGTTGCTACATCTGACGAGGATATATTTAATAAGAATCGTTTAAGCAATACTTTGGCGGACATTGGCTATTTAATACCAGGTGATGGTTTAATGGTAGACAACGATTTCAAGATTGAACAATATCTAACATATTGGAATGCAATTAAATATGATTTTGGGAAAGCTTGAAATAATTTTAAATCGTGCTACTTCTATGAGCAGATATATTTTGTCTCGTATGTTATCTGAATCTATGTAAGTCTAAAAATTACGCATTATTTCGTCTATGCAAAAAAATAAAGTCAAATTACAAAGAATTTTGTCGCATCTATACAATAATTTGAGTCGAGCAAGTTTAATTTCATGAAAGTATTATTTGTTTATTAAACTTTATAACATTATATAGCATAGCGATTCATTATCTTCCATGGAGATGTATAGACTTTCCTTCAGCTTAAGAGGTTTTTTTCAGGGTTATGATCGAGTTCTAAAGTAGCGTAAAATGACATCACCGTGTTCACGGAGGAAGCCATATTTGAACATATGTTGGTCCAAACACTCCGCGTTCGGTTTCTAGTTCTGAGCACTAGTCGTGAAAAAAATGATACCCGAAGGTCGACCAGAATGACCTTGGCCTAGCAATCGGTAACACAAAGTAGCTAACGTAGATTCGGCATTCAATTCGTATCAAAGACTAGGCAGAACTGAACCAATATAACCATGATCCTTAGTTGCATGAAAGCAAAATGATATATTTGGTCAATGCCCCCTCACCGCACACTTTCCGTGATTACGCCCCACAAACCATACCGGATTTACCTATAGGCTTGGCAGACTGAAGCCAAGGCCCTCGCCATCAAGGTGTCTCCAGCATAGGTGTACAGTCTTCCATGTACCAACCCTTGTCTTAAACATCCGTCATCATCCTCGGAGTCATTGAATTGTTTTTGTTTTATGAACATTCTTTCATTTTCCTCTAGTCTTGGCGGATTGGGAGGAGTCTGGTAAGTGGAATAGCCTCGCTAGTGCCTTGCTTTATCTATTTCTCAACGATGCTAACAATTAGCATAAAGTGGAGTAGTAGAACATGCTTACCCAGCTCAACAAGAACAATAAACACCCGTGTGCGCTGTATCATAAGGTCTGTCATTGAGTCAACTGGTGTGGTTTCAAATCCCCGGTTGTACGCGGCAAGGAGTAGGGTCACCTGTCCAACCTCTTGGGTTTTCACCGGGTCCTCCAGTTTCCTCCCACTGCCAAAGACCCCTACGCACACGCGAATTATTGAAATAAACTGAACCATGTGTTAGTCCCGAAATGACCTAGTTTGTATCGAGTGGACGTTACCACCCCCCCCCCCTCTCAAAAGAATAGCACACAATTGAACGGCGTATGCCATCATCAGTGTTCCAGGTGATGTCAATGGACTTCCCAAAGTAGGGGAACTAGAAATCTTTGACGTCAAAGTCAATTAAAATATTAACAGCAATGGAAAGTAAATGAACAGAAAAGTTGATATACCAAACGACCCAAGCCATTAGGCCATTAATCCCATGCTAGTCGAATTGAAAACTATAGGAATAATATTGACATATTGATGTGTACACGAAACTCGGGATTGGTCAATTAACAGAGATTAAAAACCACATCGCTATCACCAGTCGCTATATGGTATGTTAAAAATATCAGGGAAAATATTGATGTGAAGACAAAATGGCATTTATTATTCCGATTATATTTTTGTTCTCGTCATCTCTAACTAGTAAGTGTCTTTTTTTCCTCATTTCCTTTTTGCATTGGGGTCAACTGCAATCTGCAGATCACTCAAGATTGCATGTATTTACAAACTAATATGGTCCGTTTGGGTCGCCATTTACATTACCTTGCAAGGTTATGATATTCATTGTTTTACACCCTTGAACTCAACTTTATATTCTGATTACTAAAGATCCATTGTCAGTTAACAGTCTATTGGTATATTCTCAATGTTTTGTTTTAATGCGAGATTTCGAATCCCCGGTTGTACGTGACAAAGGGTAGGATCGCCTGTCAAATGACTGGCTTATTTTTTTTTATCTATATCAAACTTGAGAAGGCCATCTACGACTACATTCCGAAAACAAAACCGTTTCTGGAAATTGTTAGACTTACCAAGTCAGCGACGCCATGCACCTACAGAGCCGTACGCCCATGAATGGATGAAAGTACAAAATGAAATAAAATTGGGTTTAACGTCCTACTGTTCTGCTCCGAACTGGGCTAATGAAGACGGGCATACGCCATACAGTGTGCTATGAGGGAAATTTTGGCCGGACAGCGGCACTACGGCCTACTCTTATATCGAATTCCAACTGTCAAGGGATCTTTTACGTGCACGTCAATGTGTACACGGGACCTCGGTTTTTAGTCCCATCCGACAGCTGTCCTTGTCAGGCCCCCACCTTGCTACTAGTGGGTGATTAGAGGACCCGACATGCCTCTTGTTTTATGTTTTAAAATTATTTCAGCGACTTTATGTCACACGTTTGAGGATGTCTACAGATTAAAAGAAGAAATTTTTAAAAAGGGAAACTACTCTAACAACATTCGACCAAAATTAAATCAGTTAGAGCAAACTGATATTAATATGACCATGTATTTAGTTCGATTGATTAAACTGGTATGTTTACATTTAAATAACACAATTTATCAACTAAATTCAATCCTTTATTTTTAGCTAAATCAAAGAGGTTTAGCCTCTTTAATAACGATTTTATTAGCATTTCTAAAGAAATGTTCCCAATTAAAATGTTTATGTTTACAAAACTGTAATTGTACACTCGAAAAAAGACTTTTATATAAAGCAATTTACCAGGTTTCGATGTCGAAGGTAATAAATATGTGAATAATTGATGCCGACGTTCATTTTTATTATTATTCACACAATCCCAACTAGTTAAAAACGACATGTAACAAACCAACGACGAGGCCCGTATCCCCCGCCACAACCCCAAAATCAATAAATACACATATTAATTATTTGTACAGTCATCCTTTCGTAAAGCGCAAACTATTCAACTTAAAATCTTTAAGTGACATTTAGCAATTGGGAAACACAGTAACAGAACACAATTTTAATGGGAAAACAACCACTTGTTTTATTCTAAACATGTCAAATTGCTTATCACTCTACTTAGCCGTTACTTTTTTAATGGAACTGTTCCCCGAGTTTAGTCCCTCTCGCACAATTAGAATTAAATTAAGTTATTGTGTTTCAAAGTTTCAACCAATCAAATTAGTCTTAGCAGACATTGTGGATCATCTAACTAAGTCAAGGAATGTACTTAAACACCTACAACCAGTTTCATGTTCCAAAGCATCGACAAATCACTTTGTTTATCGCCTCTCACAAAAGTCTGAAAAATTATTAATAATCCTTTGACAGATGTTACACTTTGATTATTTAGTAACTAGAGAAGGAAACGAGATGTTTCTTCTCGTGATTATATGCTATGAAGTTCTTACCCCCGCACGCATGTCCTCTTAGTACCTCGATTTGCGTTAATCCGGTATTGCGTCTAATAAAACGACGGGTATTGTGAATGTCATATTAACCAACTGATACGATTTCCTTTTTTCAGGACACTCTTGAGCAAACTCTTACAACGTCAGGATGGATGGCTATAGTAAGTAAACCCCATTTTTATACGACCATCCGTCCTTCAACAATTTGCTTATGAACCCGATATAAGCTACAGTTTTTAACGGATTGTTATTTTTAAATTTGGTGTAAAGTATAAGGGCCATGAGAAAAAGAGCTCTATCGATACTGACCCTTTTAAGACCTTATATTCCTGAGTTAGCATCTCTTTTTCGAAATCCGTATGAATGAGGCTACAGATTATTACCGGATGTGAACACGATAGAGCTTAGATGTATTAAAGGATCAAATTAGGTTTCCTTTCGGATAAGCAATTGTCTATGGCTTTATTTTTTTTTCTTTCAAGACATTGATGCCGTGTAGGCGTCTGTGTACAGTTTCCGTTCCAATCTTCTTTAAAATAAAAGTCTGCAGTTCTTCTAAATCGTTATTCAGAACGAAGACAATTGCTTGGGAGATTAACCACTATATTTTAATCGAATATTCTCTTGTCGTTAATTAAGTGGCTTTACTCATTGTTTGATTGTACACAGTGCACATACTTCGTTCTTTCTCATTGTATCAGTATTGTACTTAAAAAGGACAAAAGAATCATTGTACATTTTAATCTTTCTAGACATGGATAAATGAAAAACTAACATGGAACCCTGAAGAATATGGTGGAATTACTCACATTAATGTCGAACAAAAAGATATGTGGATTCCCGATTTTTTCGCTTTCAATTCGTACGTACTTTTATACGCCCACATTTATTGTCGTCGCCCCTGTCCGTCCGTCCACAATTGTTTGTGAACAGTCTACAGTTCACAATTTTTATCTGATTTCAATGACACTTGAAATATAGGTTTATCACCCTAAGATCTCGGTTCCTTTCGATATTGGCATGTATCGGACTGTAACTTCATGGATTATGGCCCCTGATTGTACGAAAAATGACGTTTTTAGCTTGTGAACACTGTAGAGGTCACAATTTTTATCCGATTTGGTTTAAACTTGAAATGTATGCTTATAACCCAAAGATCTCGGTTCCTTTCGATATTCGCGCATATCGGGACGTAACTTCCTGATTGTACGAAAAATCGCGTTTTTAGCTTGTGGATAGAGGTCATATTTTTTATCCGATTTAAACCCTAAGGGCGGATGAGTTCGAATTTCGTGAAAATCGGCCCAAAACTGACAGACAAAATGGCCGCCGTTCGTTCTCAAATAGCGTAAAAATATGGTATATCAAGGTTGTAGACCCGATAGAGGTCACAATTTTTATCAGATTTAGTTGAAACTGGAAATGTAAGTTTTTAACCCGAAGATCTCGGTTCCTTTCGATATTCGCGCATATCGGCCCGTAACTGTCTGAATTATGGACCCCATGATTGTACGAAAAATCGAGTTTTTAGCTTGTGGACCCTATAGAGGTCATAATTTTTATCCAATTTAAAAAAAAACGTATTATTATATCACCGTTACACACCAAGGACGGCTGAGTTCGAATTTCGTGAAAATTGGCCCAAAACTGACAGACAAAATGGCTGCCTCTCGTTCCTTTCGATATTTGCGCATATCGAATTGTAATATCCTGAATTATAACCCTTGATTGTAGGAAAAATCACTTTCTTTTTAGCTTGTTCTCTATCCATCTCTCGAAAATGTGGGCATATCCTGCCTGGCAGCCGCTTTTTATTTCAAATTGTTACTTTAGATATTTGTTTGTAGAAGTATACCGATTATTTTTGTATATAAAACCCCCCAAGAAAAAAAGTAAATTTATGTCCGTTGGGTGAGGTCAAAAGTAGTGTTGGAGTAAATAGCTGTGACGTAATGTAACACCAGTGTAAGTCTTTTCCTCACTTTTGACCTCAAAGAAAGGGTCAAGCCAAAAAGGGAGATAATTACAACTTTAATTTCATTCAACTGTTGATAGAACTACAATCTAGAGTCTCAAGACTTTCAAAATACGAAGGTCGCCGGCAGCACATGCCTGATCATTTATTTCATTTTGTCGCTAATAACTTTTACTTAACTCTATTGTCACACAAAATTGAGATAATTCCTGAAAGCCAGGACTCATTCAAAATCGGCTCCTATCTAACAAGAATTAAAACATGAAAGTAGCCATAGCGCATGTAATATTACTTTTAACGTCCGAGCGAGAGTCGCCATTAAGTAAGACGACAACATTTAATTTACGATATCGATGCATTATTCATCGAAATGGCTTAACCAGGGCGACTTTCGAGTTTTTTCAGGCATGGGTTGGGAGATTCGACCATGTTTTTTACATCAACAAATCTATTATGTGTTTCAGAATACAAGCTTACAAAATGTTCGGAAGTGACGATCTCAGGACTGTTGTTTCTTATACTGGTCATACTACCTGGGAACCCAGTTTTCATTTAACTACAAGTTGTCTTTTAGATGTCGTCAGATTTCCTGTAGATTACCAGTCTTGCAGCATACAAATCGAATCATGGACCTTAACTGATACCGAGATGAATGTTCAAGGTGTGAAAATGATCACAACGTGTTTTGAGACTTCCAGTGAAGAGTTCGAGGTCATCGGTAGCAGTGTTACCCAAGAAGCTGATGAAGTTAATGGATGTCAAAATGAGACGAATACTATATTAAAATTTTCAATTCGACTCTGTCGTAAATCTACGTTTTATATGTTAAACGTAGTTGGGCCTATCGCGACTATTTCCTTTCTTTGTGGAATTAGTCTGCTGGTGCCCCCACAGAGTGGAGAAAAGTTAACAGTTTCTATAACTTCGTTGCTGTCATTGACGGTATATCTGAGTGGTATTGATCACCACTTGCCGAAGACCTCCGACAAAATTGCCTATTTCGGTGAGTTATAAAATACCAGATCATGGCTACACTTTTGTAGAGAATAAGTAAAACAGCTCCAAATAATTTTAGTGTGGAATATATTATTGTATATTTAACGGGGCAACCATCTTTTTACATTTACATTCGCTGTACTCTACACATTTCGAACCAAGGTGTTAACGAAGTTATCTATAAGGAAACGGTACGTGTCGAATGGGTTATTATCTTTGTTCACGATATCACAGGAGATACTATCTTTGGCCAACTTTTTAAAAGAGCGTAAATCTGTTGTATTATAAAAGGGTTGTGATTATCCGTTTTTGTGAAAAAGGGAACTGGAAGTTAATTGGGTTTTCTAACACAATAATCTTTTTTTTTCTTTCTTCAGTGATCTATGTGACGCTGTTAATTGGGATGAGTTTTCTTGGCGTTGTCTGTAATGCGTTAAGTATCTGCATCCACAGCAAAAGTCAACGATCTGAAGTACCATTAGCTTTTAAATTTCTTCTGGCCAGAAAGTATAACAATGCTAAGAATAGCTTGAAAGCCCACACAGAGGATACAAGAAGTTCAGCGATGTCAGCCACCAGTGATAGCTCATCTTGCTGTGAAATTTGTGATGCTGGTACTTGTAACCACTGGCCAGACGTAGCTAGAATGTTTGACAAAACACTGTTCTTAATTTTTACCATTATTCTATTTTTAATCAATATCGGATTCACCCTGGCGTGTCTGATTTAGCTATATTATACTAGTCCGAAGTCTACTTCTATAACATCGGACATGTCGATGTATTTAATTGGCAACATTGATCCTAAAGAAGTACATTTATATTCTTTGGAACCTACAATGGACAAAAGTTGGGCGTCCAGTATTTGGTTAACCAATGTTTTAAATTTCTAATCAGTTATGTAGGGCGAAATGCGTGAATGGTCCAAATCTAATGCCAGTCTTTCCGCCTTGTTAGTCTATTATACAAACTCATTTTAGTCACTTCTGGATCTGTCGGATCGCATAATGGAATCAGGTATGGTTTTAAATCTGGTCATGAAGTCTTCTCATTACAAATGATACACGAAAACACGATTTTATAATGTTCATTGTATATTAAATATTGGCTATCAGGAGCCTATATTTTCACTGCAAGATAACATCTATTTTGATTGAAATAAATTGTATTTCTGTTCTTTATGTCGATAATATTGAGGTAGGGGTTTAGCGCATTTAAATGTTAAGTGTGCTATCTACTTAGTTAAGCATCGACTGGTGATTTTCTTAATACATTTAGGGTCAGTCGGTCGAGGAAAATGGTTATTAAATTTCTGTTAATTTTCGACAACTCTAATATTTTTGTCCTCGACATATAATACTGTCGATCATATTATGCTGTTGTATAAGAATATAACGCTTTCTTATAGATACCCTATACCATTTTCTTAAAATTATGTCGTCGCCCCTGTCCGCATTTGTTTGTGGACTTAACTTCCACTTCCAACCTTCGGTGAGGGTTTTTACATTCTCCCGCGTAGGAATACAGGAACTCGACTTGCTTGTTGTGATTTGTCCCGGATATCCCATCGAGTCTCGGGATGCAAAACGTGAAGTTGGGTCTGTTGGTAATATCACAACAGAATTGTCATAATTAATATTGTCGAGTCAAGTCAAACAAGTATAAACCTACCTGAGGTGCCATTAAGGAGCACGTTACACAACTATGTTAAAAAATGCATATGTGAAAAATCAGACCGAATACTAAAGCTAGACGGAACACTAAACGATAAAACAAACACCGAATGAGACACTATACAATTTAAAATATTAAAAACGATTCCCTAAATCTACCAGGTATAACCGATTACTTCTTTAATTTAATTATGCTATTTTATTGTGAACTATATAAGAATAAACACTATTTGAATTGTAAATAAATTGTCTTATATTTAATATTGTCGAGTAATATCAACAAACAAATGTAAACCTACATGCTATAGCGAATTCGGTGCCATGAAAACATCGAAATTAATCTAAACAAGATGGGGATTTGAGAAAAAGTGCCTCAAGGTGAAACAGGATGTTAGAGGAAAAGGTATCAGAACAGAAGATGACATAGAAAGTCAAGACTACATAATGTAACTGAGTGTCTAGTTAAACAAGGCTATATAAACTGAGACTAACCTATATTCCCTACAAAGGACGACTACTTCTTACAGGTAATACATGACAACTGACCGACAAATATACCCAACTACATTTGCAAGAAATTTAACATCAAAGAAGTGACACGCACATAAAAATATGTTCTAAAATACTTTGAGAAAGTTTACAACATCGAATCTGCAATCTTAGTTGTAACAGAACACTAGTTACTTCCCTTCGCTCCCTCTCTGTCTATTGAATTTGTTGATTCGTCGACAACAAGAGCACAATTATCGAGGGAGAGAGAGAGAGAGAGAGAGAGAAATGGAGTTTAACGTCCACTCGACACAAACTATGTCATTTCGGGACTAACATATGTTTTTTTAAATTTTATTAACATAATTCGCTTGCGCGTAGGGGTCTTTAGCAGTGGGAGGAAACCGGAGGACCCGGAGAAAACCCACGAGGTTGGACAGGCGACCCTACTCCTTGCCACGTACAACCGGGGATTAGAAACCACGTACGCCAGTCGACTCAATGACAGACTTTATGATACAGCGCCAAGGGCCATATCAAGGGCCAATAAATATGGTGGCTGAAAGCGTCCAGTTAGATCGTCGTGTTTCTAGATACAATGCCAGAGTCGCCGTTAAGTCAGAACGACAAAAAGGCCGCCAGAAAAGGCGTCGATTACTTTACGATATCGGCACCCTTTTCGTCACTCTGGCTTAACGGCGACTCTCGTCTAGGAAGTTGAAAGTTAGTTACATGCGCAAAGGCTGATTTCATATTTTACTTCTTGTTAGAATATCAGAATGAAGATTTTTGAGAAGTTTGGGCTTTCGATTGTGATAAATGAACATTTTCAGGGATACTGGGGTAAATTAAAATGCATTGTGTTATAGACAATTATACTTTCAAAATTGGAAAACAGCTATTGTACATGTAACAAACGTTCAACATAATGTATAATACACTTTATAAATATTTAACAGCATGAAAATCACTATAACTGTTTTTATTTTTGCATTTTTAACTGAATTCCTCAATTATATTGTCAACTACCAGAATTTCTTCCAATCTAACTGCCAGAGGGCGTGGTTCCGAGTTCAGTGGGAGGTGACGTCATAACTCGCAGGTATTTATTGTCTCGACTAAACTTAATGCCCCATGGGTTTTTATAATTTTTAAAATTTGTGCATAATTATTAATTATTTTTAGGGAAAAGGTTTGTTTAATAAATTACATCATCAACCGTAAGTTTGACTATTGTCTTCAAGCGTTGCATTATGTAAGAGGCCTATAATCAACCCTCTGGGCCATCGGATGGCCATCCGCGAGATTTATAAAAGTAACGATACAATGGACAATGAGCACAAGTCCCAGTTGTCAAGTACTGCTAATACGATAATAACGATTTACGCTATATCGTCAAACCGCAATAACGTCGCTCTGAATAAACTAATTTTAATAAAATTTTCAATTTTTGGCGAATCTCTTAACAGAAGATCGCCATTAATGTGAACAGTTTACATACGTTTAACTAGAAAATCTTTACAGACAGGATCCTATTAATTTGCAAACTAGACAATCCGGACATGAAATACGAGTGCATCATGTTTCGTCAATTATCCTTTCGAGGCCTGGAAGGCGAAATGAAATGAGGGTTAAAATACTATTTTTCGCACAAAATATTGAAGAAAATTTTGCCCGGACATGCCCGGACAGTGTCAGTACGGCTTGCTCTTATTTCGATTTCAATCTGCCAAGGGTTAGTTTACGTGCATACCCATGCATACACAGGACCTTTCCGATATCGGCGCTTTTTTCATCGATCTGGCTTAACGGCGACTCTCGTGTTTTGAAATTCGCAGGTCGCCGACAAGCCAGTACGACGAAAAAGTCGCCCTTGTTGTATGGCTTAAATAAAAAAAATCCCAAAAATGACCTTTTGGACTATGACAATATTGCAAATTTACACATGATATTTCTTTTAATTTGACAACGATTCGGCTCCATACATAACATGCTCTTGTATCACGTACATGGTTGACATAAAGTGAAGTGGTAACTTGTGTATAAGAATTGATCATGCTTGAAGTGAAAATATTGACACTGCAGTTTATGAAGAGGAGGCTCAAATACGTTTAACTATCTGCTTATTACTAGACAAAAATCTCAAATAGCCGACCAATAATCTCAACTTATTATTGTTACATTAAAAAAACCCAAAAACAAATATTATGCGTCTTTGGTCCATTATCTATATACGGATAAATATTATTATTATTGATATATTATTTTAAAGTCTGCCATAATGTCTTTTGCACGTCGTTATATATCATTGATATGAAATGGTCTCGATGTCTAAATATTGTACCTACATTATATAAACATGTATGCTATTAGTACAGGAAGGAAATATTCCTACAACAATCCTATTTGTAGCAGGATGAATGCTTCATGTAAAATCGTTCATTTATTATTCTAATAAGTATATAAAAAAAAAAAAAATATAAATACAAACTCACAACAGACTTACTTTTGTATGGTTAAAATAAAAACACAGATTGTCGTTAGAGGAAAAATAAACCTACCAGCTACAATCTGATCAAAATACAGATCTATATTTCGTTTCGTTTTTTTATCGGACCGGTTGTTGCGATAGGTCACGTCAGAGGTCATACGAGCGGCAAGTGAGCCTATGGAGTCCGACATTTGATAAACCAATCAGCATTAGTGTTAGTAGTGGATTACCTACAGTTCCGTGCAAAACACGCCTAAAGCTCGCCGTAACAGACCGCTTCATTGGCTAATACCTCACACTATTCTGAACACGTCAATGATAACAACTCTTCCAGATCCTAGTGTAGTAAATACAAGTTAAACGAAATTTTGAACTATAAAAACGAAACGAAATAGGATCTGTGTTTTAATCAGATTGTACCAGCTAGTAAGTCATCCGAATAGTTATAAATCTAAAATGCACGAATGTTCAACCTTTTAAGTGGTCAAGATTGTTTATCCATTTATTGTTCAATCAACCATAGAAGTCACCAAGAACAGATGAAAGATCAGGTACCCCTATGTACTATAACACGGCCACACATTACAATCTGTCGACTGTGCCAAATAGGATGTACCATTAGCTCAGATCTCTCCTGGAGCAATCACATCGAGAGCATATGCAGCAAAGCCAACAAGACCATAGGCTTTTCAAAAAGGAATCTCAACATCAGATCGCCAAAGATTAAAGAGAGAGCATATATGACCCTTGCGAGGCCCTCAGTTGAGTATGCCAGCGCAGCTTGGGGTCCCCACCTACAGTATAATATCAAAAGAATCGATATGGTCCAACGTCGAGCCGCAAGATATGTCATGAACAACTACACACAAACAGCTAGTGTAACATACATAATAGTCGTTTAGCATGGACCCCGCTGGACGTCAAACGAAAACAAGCACGGCTGATTATGCTTTATAAGATCCACATCAACCTCATTAACATCGCAACAGACAAGCTAATCCCACCAAATAGGACAACTAGACACATGCACCCTCAAACTTTCTAAATTCCGTCTGCCAAGAATGACACCAAGAAATTCTCCTTCTTCCCAAGAACAATAAGAGACTGGAGTGCTTTACCACCAGACATTCCATTCTCACCACGTCATTTTTATCCTGTTTTTAACTTTTCATACCGTTCTTAACTTTTCATCGTCATGCCGGCCATGCGCAACCCACGCCGTGTCAAAATGATCAACCATGATTGTGGACACTACCTGGTAGAAGTAGAAGTGCAATAAGTCTTATTAGATTAAAACTTATAACCAGGATTCAATCTCGATTGGTTTCATCTTTAGTACAGGTCAAACTATCCCAGCAATGGGCAATGGCTAAGGGCGTGGGTGCTAATTTTGATAACAGGAGCAATAACGCATGCAGGGCTCTAATTTTAAATAGGGGTCATCCTTATGGCTATTCCACTAATTCGGCTGCATTTACATAGTAGTTGAATAAACCCATCGTGTTTGAAAATGCCCCCCCCCCCAAAAAAAAAAACAACAAAAAAAGAAAGCAACAAACCTCTAGCTGTTAGTGATAAGTGTCATAATTAATTTCGTATGGGATCATGTTCATAAGTGGTTTAGTGATGACTGTATCAATATGCGTCGTTATGGCAACCGAATCAAATATGTAGTGATATACAGCGCTATGAGTCGCTGACCTGATGTGAAAAGCCAACATGCCAAAAACTTCCAACATCCTACGTGTGACGCATACTCTCTTCTCCTGCTACATATTTTATTAGCTTTGTGATCGTCTACTATTGTGTCTGGTTATATTTGTAATTCTCTACTGACGACACCACTGTAACGTTGTGAATTTATTCTCCGCTTATTCAGTTTATGGTTACACACAGAAATAACAATATCAGTTTGTTTTATGTCAAGCACTGGATACATAGGTTACAAGCATAGATTAAAATAAGGTCATTTCTACCCTCTCAACCCCACCAACTTGCAGAACGAGTTTAATGACGGAATGCCTACATCATATGGCTCTTCTACAACTTACCGGGGCATTCTGAAATCAGAATCTACATGGTGTCTAAAAATGACATTGCAACTGCCGTGCAAATAATTGACGAGGAATTTCGTATTAAACTGCATTCCTGTCCTTGAATGGCCATTGCTCGATTTTTCCATTTAACGTTAAACTATAATATGACTCGGTTATTCTAATCCATTCAATATCTCAGCCATACGATGACCTAGAGTGTTGAT